CCCAGCCTTCCCAGAACCTCCCTGCAGAAGAAGCTTTAAAAGGCCAAGCAAGTGTCCAATCAAAATGTGAAGTCAAGGTCAAGATTGATTTAGTCAGTTTCTACGCCAGTTGGACTAGATCAAAGCCCACCCAACTTCTCCATTCTGTCAGTCTATAACAGTGTTTCTCAATCTTGGCAGCCTGAAGATGTGTGGACTTCAACTTCCAGAATTCTGGGAGTTGAAGTCCACATATCTTCAAGCTGCCAAGGTTGAGAAACACTGGTCTGTAAAGTTGGTTCAGGTGTTGTTGTTTGATCTTGCTTGGTTGGATGGAACCTGACCAACAACAGGAAGTCATTTTAACTGGAGCAATAGAATTTGAAAGTGTGTGTGTGGGGGGTGTCCCCTGCATTTCAGGCATCTGCTCTTCCTCCCCTTCTACCAGTCCATCAATCATGGATCTATCATGCTAAAACGGCAGCTCGTTTCTGGTTGCTTGAAGTTGATGTTTTTTCTTCCACTTTCTGTGATGCGTTTGCAGACTTAAAAGGGTAACCTAGCTGGTGTTGCTCGGATGATGGAGTAGGTAGGTCAGCTGTCCATAACCTTGGAAGTTCACAGGCAGATCTCTTTCAGGAAGATGGCTGCGATCAATGCCAGGCTTTCTAGCAGGCGACTCACTCACAGTAGCTGACCAATATGGGAAACTCCATGGAGACCCTGGTGCATTAGACGGTCTGCCAACTTGAACCAGCCTAAGCAGAAGGCATTGGAGCTTTGCCTCCCTTTGCAAGTAAAACAGGCATTGTTCATCAGAAGCTAGACTACCGTTTGCATAGAATGAGTGGAAAGAATGGAAGTACATAAAGGGGGGTGAGCAAAGGTGCTTCCTTCTCCAACCAGTCTTATAATCTGCTGTCCAGCCGACCTGTTTCCACCTGAGTCTTCTTACAACCTCCCACCCTCCCGAGAGGCAGGTTACAGAGAAACAGGGCATCATGTGGCATTAGCTGGCAGAACTGCCATGAACTACAGCTTTGAATAGCTAGATGCATGGAGGGGCTGTGGCTTACAGCCAAAGCACAGGCTTTACGAGCAGAGAATCCAGCTCCCTTCCTGAGCCTTTTCAGTGAAGCAGTCAAGGCAAGTCTTGGCAGGTGGCCCTGCAAAGCAGAAATGACCAAGCTTAGAAGCTCAGCAGCCTGATGCGCCGTAAGCCAAGTCTGGGTGCCTCCTGACTCCCCTGAATGTGTAACTATTGTATAAAGAATACAGTCCAGAAACGATGGCATTTGCTGTACGACCTTCTTTTTTCAAGGAACGTGGAATTCTTCCTGTAATGAGGACTGCCGTCTTATGTCCAATTATCTCAATGACACAAATAGCGCTGAGGTTTCAGCTGAAAAGAGAGGCTGGGCTTCAGATGAGGATCTGAGAACATCCTATCTAGCTGGGGTTCTTTGTCAAGGGCCAGCATTCTTGGACGTTGCTCTAAGCCCACTGTTCGGAGAGGGGAAAGGAGGCTTAACCCACTGGAGATTTGGGTTCTATCAGAGTTGAGGTGCCCGGTCATGTTCTACCATGAGATGGAAACTCCTTCCAGGCAGAGAAAGGATGGGTCATGGGGTTTCTAGAAGATTATCTTCAAAGGAAGTCATAGGATTGGTCTGAACAAAAGAACAGCTTGTGTGCTTTTCTTAAAGTGGTGGAACTCCTAGTTCTAGAAGTTTGATCCCAAAGAGGAGATTAAAAAACAATCAGTTTTGCCCATTGAGCTTCAGTGGTAAAGCGATGAAACCTCCAAGTTTAATTCCGTTGCTACCCCTTCTTAGAGGTCCAGCAACTTTTTCCTCTTTCGGTACAGTTTTCCAGGGAATAACAGGTAGGAATGTTGACCTCTGAAACCGTTTTTTGAGGTTGTTATTTAAGATTATTTATATGAGTTTCATTTTTTTTGTAAAGATGTGTAATAATTGAAATTAGATGTTGCAAAGGAGGTGCTGAATTTTATTCATTTGCTCATTTATGCCATGTGCTCCTTTCCCTTCTATCTTTCAGCGGGGCAACGGGGTCCCAGCTAAATTAGCCAAACACAGTTAAGAGCAGCAAGAATGATAACAAGACGGTCCATGGTCACCTCCTGCTCCGGAAAGCATTTTTTAAGTGCATTAACACTGGGTGAAAAAAGGCAGCATGGAGCCCAATGGTGACCAGGGGGGCTCTCTTGTTCTTCTCCCATTGAGCAGCATAAGCCCTTGGTTGCCTTCCATCCCACAAGCTTCTGTTAATCCATCCTCATCCTCCTAGAGTTCTTTCACCCAAAGATCTCCTGCTTGAAGTACGTTTTTTCTTTCTAAACAACAATGGGAAATATTCTTCCTCGAGAGCCGAAGAGGGTTCATTTGGTAGGACGTCCTGTTGGCGGTCCACAACCAGGTGGAGTTTAGCAAATGGAACACGGCCCTTTGTCCACACCGGTAGAAGTGTAGCCTGCAGCATTTTCAGCAGACTAAGGAAACTAAATATGCAAAACCAGGGAAACTCTAGAGGACTACCCCACATGTTGGGGGAGAGGGACTTTTATTCTAGCAAAGGATGATCTCTGTCTTGGTTGTCTTCTTGCTAATACGAGCAGGTCTATCAGTAGCCCTGAAGTCCCAGCTGCATTTGTTTTCTGACTCTGTCTCGAAACGTTGGGAAGCTGTCTTGGGCCTAGTGGATAGATAATCTGACCTGACCCATGGGATTTACGTGTCTCTGCCTAATATAAGCTGTAGGAATGCAACTATAGTGTAAGAGGCATTCCTAAAATGGAGGTATCTACATCAGTGTTTCTCAACCTTGGCAACTTTAAGACGTGTGGACTTCAACTCCCAGAATTCCCCAGCCAGCGCCGCCACTTCCCGGGGCTTGCGCGGGGCTTTCAGTACGCGCTCGCTCACGTCACACGTCTGGTGGGCGAGCGAACACCTATACCAGAAGCC